TAGTGGGAATACAAATTGGTACCATTTACTCGCAGGGAAATTTGGCAAATAAAATACAAAATTCCCATATTGTTTGGCCCAGAAATTCTAGTTGAAATCTATGCTACAAATATACTCTTTCTCGGGGTTAAAGATGTGTACACAAGCGTGTTCATCTCAGCCTTGTTTGAAAAGAAGGAAGAAAGGGAAGGAGAGAAGGAGGGAAGGAAGGGAACAACCTAAATATTCACCAATATTTGCTGGTGTCCTGTAACACAGAATCCTATGTGATTATTCTATAAAAATGAAGATCGTGCAGTCACTACAAAAAAGGTAGATCTCTAGAAGCTGGTTTGGAAATATCATCAAGATATGTTACGATAAAAAAAGAAAGAAAAAGAGAAGACAACGAGTACATATAACATTCCTTTATTATAAATAATAGGCCTACTGTCCCGTTTTCTATTTAACAACGAACATCAGACTTAGAATCTTAGAGTCTTTTCAAATCTCAGAATGGAGGTTGAAAAAGAGAAAACTCAGAGAACTGGGAGAGGTCACAAGAAACATCTTGTAGGCAGTGGCAGGAGCAGAAGCCACGCCTTCTCGAGTCTCCTCCCCTCTTGGCAGCCTTGCACAAAGTAGGCATGGGTCATGCCTGGGCAGAGAGTTTCCTTGGGCAGATGCACAGGGGAGGGGGGAGAGGAGAACTCTAAAGGAAGGAAGGGGTGAGTGGATACACCCTTGGGCTCCCCTTTCTATGAGAAGCATGACACACCCAGTAGAACCTTTGGGCCTGGGAGAGGATATGGCTCAAGTGCATGCAGGAAAGACCAAACTGGCCTTTGTGTAGTGGATAATTTATTAGTATAAGTACGTATACTTGTAAAATATGTTTGGGGGGGTTTGTTGGGGCTTTTTTGTTTTTGTTTTTGTTTTGTTTTTGAGACAGAGTCAGTCGCCCTGGGGTTGAATGCTCTGGGGTCATAGCTCACAGCAACCTCAAACTCTTGGGCCCAAGTGATTCTCTTGTCTCAACCTTCCGAGTAGCTGGGACTATAGGTGCCCACCACAATGCTGGGCTATTTTTATTTTTATTTTTTTCATTTTTTTGGCTGGGGCTGGGTTTGAACCCACCACCTCCAGCATATGGGACCGGTGTCCTACACTTTTGAGCCACAGGCACCACCTGGGCTATTTTTAGAGACAGGGTCTCGCTCTAGCTCAGGCTCGTTTCAAACTCCTGAGCTCAAGCAACCCACCCACCTCACACTCCAGCCCTCTGGAGGCCACCACATGAGCCACCGTGCCTGGCCCCTAAAATATAAGTTAACATCATGGAGTATAAGGGTCAAATTAAAAACAGCTAGAGTCGATGAATAATTTAAACAGTGCCTGAAGTCTAACAAAAAAAAAGTTTCCCTTAATAAGTGCAATTACCCGTAGATGTACTTAAACATAATACACTGAAATCATACATTTATCTTTAAACAAGTGCAAGCACTTTACTATCTCTGCCATTAACAATGCCACTTTCAAAATCATTCAATAATAAATGAAATATAATATTTCTTTCAACATCCCTGTAACAGCAGATGTCATTTAGACTCTGTTTAAGGTTCTGGTTTTTTCAGTAGTTTAACATAATTTGTAACCTTTACTAGCAGAGATAAAATGCTACTGTGTGTCCTGTTTTTGAACTATGATTATGGCACTTCTCTCTTCAAGAGAATGCAAGGTCACTCACGTTAAACCTGTATTAGAAACAGGAAAATGGAAAAAAAAAAAAAAAGGAAAGAAAAAATGGACTTAAGACTATTACTACATAACTTCTTCTCTTGACTTGCCTTTGATAAAATATGTCTTTAAAGAGAACACATTACCTTCAAATTTAGCTGCTAAGAAGCTTCAGCTTTCTACAGATAAACATACACATATTTTTGCCAAGCGTGGTGGCTCATGCCTGTAATACTAACACTTGGGGAAGATGAGGTGAGTAGATTGCCTGAGGTTGGGAGTTCGAGTCCCTGTCTCTACTAAAAATACAAAAACTGGCTGGGGGTTCTGGCAGGCACCTGCGGTCCCAGCTACTTGGGAGGCTGAGGCAGAAGGAGTTAACTTGACCCCAAGAGTTAGAGGTTGCTGTGAGGTATGATGCCACAGCACTCTACCCAGGACACAGAGTGAGACTCTGTCTCAAAATAAATAAATAAATAAATATAAAATCCAGAAGGATTAGCAACTCGAGATAATCAACTGTTTTAGAAATTCAAAATAAAAGTTCTGCAACAGGATTTTGTCTCTCTCATCTTGAGAAAAATTGCATGGCCAGAAATTCCTACTCTATAGCAAATATATACTTGTAAAGAGCAGACATAATCAGAATTCTTCAATGTAGGTTCATTTTATTTAGAACATGAAAAATATTACACAAGGACTTTCAATTTATATATTAAACACACTTCCTGGCACACAGCAGGCTCTCAAATTACAAATGTTGTTACTGGCTGCCCACGTGCCAGGGACCACACTGATCCAATATTCTGGCCAGGATGATAAAATGCATGTTCCAAAAAAAACTTTGACAGAGGCTGGGGGTGAGGCCTGCAGAGCACATGTTAACACAAAAGAGATCTTGTCAGCAGAGCGCCAAGAAAAATCAAAAGTAAGATTACAGCAACACGTCCCACACAATACCAGGAAAGGGGTACCCTCACCAAGGACTGGCGAATCCCCCAAGTATCACTGAAACAAAGAAATCTGATTACAATTTTGCTTTCACATAGATTTTTCTAGAATGAAACAATGAAGGGCCAAGTCTTCTCGGTCATAATTCCCAATGTAAATTATTAAGCTGATACTTGGCTGTACATTTCAATCCACTGTAAGTTGGTCAGTCTAATTTCCCCAGAGGCGTCATGTTGGGGCATGTATTAGTTTGCCAGGGCTATCATAACAAAATACCACAGATCAGTGGCTTAAATAACAGAAATTCATTTTCTCACAGTTGTGGAGGACAGAAGCCCAAAATCAAGATGTGAATATGTTTGGTTTCTCCTGAGGCCCCTCTGTCTTACAGGTGGCAGCCCTGTCACTGAGTCCTTAATAGCCTTTCTTCTATACACACACAACTGGTGTCTGAATCCAAATTTCCTCTTATATGGACACCAGTGAGATGGCATCAGGACCCATCCTCATTTTAACTTAATCACCTCTTTAAAGGCCCTGTCTCCAGATACAGTCACATCATGAGGTACTAGGGACTAAGGCTTCAACATATGAATTTGGGGTATAAGGGTTTATAATTCACCCCGTAACAGGACACAGAGATAAAGTTCAAGTTCCTACATCTATGAAATAGAGGGTAAGACCCTGATCTACAGTGACCAGTGGGGAACTGCCCACTAAATCGTATCTGACACACCAGCCACAACTCCTGTATTTCATCATAAAGACAATATAAGGGACGTTCATTTTTTCTAACCCCATTCTGAGCTGTCATGTTTTCTTCCCATTTTGAGTTTTTGTGTTCTTTTAAAAATATATTCCCTCATCTTTAGCAACTAAAATAGTTTGCATTCCAATTTAGCAAGAGACTACATAAATCTTGACTAATGTATTCATTCAAACTACATCCATTTTCTTGTTCAGAGAAGTTCATTTTAGTTCAATTTTATTGTACTGGATTTACATGTACAGGGTCAAAAAACAAAGTCTTACAAATAACAGCCAAATGCCCTATTCTTTTTTTTTTTTTTTTTGAGACAGAGTCCCACTATGTCGCCCTCTGTAGAGTACTGTGGCATCACAGCTCACAGCAACCTCAAATTCTTGGGCTTCAGCGATTCTCTTTCCTCAGCCTCCCAGGTAGCTGGCGCCACCCAGCTATTTTTTGGTTACAGTTGTCATTGTTGTTTAGCAGTCCTGGGCTGGGCTCAAACCCACCAGCTTCAGTGTATGTGGCTGGTGCCCTACTCAATAAGCTATGGGCACTGAGCCTCCCTATTCTTTTTAAATCATTAACAATGAGGTATCCATGTTTCTGTACATGGAGATAAGGAACACCATGTACATCAGAACAATTCTAACTTGAAGACTGCAGAGAAAAGTACTTAGTGCTCAGCCTGCTGTTAAGAACAATGAAAAAGGGGGAACAGAGTACAAAGTATGTCATTAATGTTTGCTAACTATTAGTCAAATTGGATTAATAATTGGTTACTTTTTAAATGGGAAATAGCAAGAAGTAGATTGAAGATCAAAAACTGGCAGCTCAGCTGGGAGTGGTGGCTCACACCTGTAATCCTAGCACTCTGGGAAGCCGAGGCAGGTGGACTGCCTGCCCTCACAGGTTTGAGAGCAGCCTGAGCCAGAGCAAGACCTCCTCTCTAAAAATAGCCAGGCATTGTGGCAGACACCTGTAGTCCCAGCAACTCTGGAGATTGAGGCAAGGGAATCTCTTGAGCCCAAGAGGTGGAGGTTGCTGTGAGCTATGACGCCACCCAGCACACTACTGAGGGCAACAAAGTAAGACTCTGTCTAAAAAAAAGAAAAAAATATATGGTGGAAGAGTATACATGACATAAATATTAAAGTTTTGAAAGTAAATATACTAAATTAGTCAGTTTTAAAATAAAGATCTTCTGTTTTAGAATTTCTAAAGTTATACAGTACATTTTTATTAGAAGTATAACAGATGCATATATAGACTTTTTTATTCTTTTTACAGACAGGGTCTCACTATCACCAGGCTGGAGTGCAGTGGTGCAATCATAGCTAACTACAGCCTCCAACTCCTGGGCTCAAATGATCCACCTGCCTTAGCTTCCCAAAGGCACTACATCTAACCTGTATAATTCAGCTGTCTTAAACATCTTAACATACTCCAATAGAAGGTGAATTGTGTTTAGAGAAACACAAACATTTGTACAGCTCAAATACTGACTCAAATACTTCTTTGAAGTGGACAAGTTAAAATACTAAAAGAACTAAATGCACATAAGTAATTTAAGACACTACAAATGACACTCAAACACATTTTTTTATTATATACTAAATTTAAAAATACAAATCTTATTAAAAATGCTTATCAAACATTGTATACATAAGTACTGTCAAATACTATTGAGTTATGACATTATGTACATTTGCTAAGGTTAATTAGAAACAAAGTAACATAACTTCACTGATATTGAATTTCAAAAGTCAAATATTTTAAAATTTGGCAACTGTGAAGTAGTGATCTGCACAGGATGTTTGCAGAGGTAAAATAGTAAGAAAACAAACGGAATCATGCAGATAATCCTGCCCTAAGTGTTAATAAGTAGAGTTCTTCCTCATCCTCTTAAGTCTTACTGTAACAGAAATTAAAGTGCACAAGACCACCAGGAATCCTTGATTTGGTTGTACCCTAAATATAGACTACAGCCAATTATGCTGCCATATTAAGGGTTTCCATTCTTTGTAATGTTCCTGAGGTTTGGGAAATTAATTTTGAATGTGGCTAAGAGAGGCCAACATTTTTCTAAATTGCACCAAATGGCCTTAAAATACAGAAATACCAAAGATAATAATATTAATTTGGGAATAGATTTAAGGGAATGATCCCTGTCTAGTAATACTTTGCCCTAGGAATAAAATTAGAATAAGGATCTAGTTTTACCTCTGGAAAACGCTTACTCTAAAAATCTTTTTCAAAAGATTAGACGTGTACAGCAAACACCACAATACTGTCAGTTACTGTTCACTGTTTATATACTGCATCATAAATACCAGGTATAAATCCCTGCCCTTTAAAGGGTCACAAGAAATACAGGTAGAAGCAGGTTATCACTTAACACTTATTTTACTAATTAAGTATAATTTGTAAAAATAGGTCACCACCATACAATCAAGGAAGAGGAGAAGGAAGCTGCTATTCTACAAAAGTGCTCCTTTTTAGCTTTCAAGCCCAATAGTTTAATTTTGAGTAAAACAAGATTGTAAGATAAGGCCATCAGTTCTAAATAAGCTGATAATGCCATATCATATATACATACTCACATATATATGTTTAAATTTCAGTTCTGATTTAACACTAATGTACTAGTACAAACAATTTATAGGAAAACATTTCATCATATTTACAAACACATGATGAATAACAAAGACATGGAAAATTTTTTAAATTGCAGATACATGTAAATGTAGTCATAGTTCACTAAAGATAAGAAAAAATTGCATTACTTCTTTGAAAACTGAAGAAAAGTGTTCAAAAAGAAATCCCTACCATATACAGCATACGTATTGGTCATCAGACCTGGAGGCAAATAAACGTAACAATCATGATTAAACTTTTATTACTGTTTCTTTTAATAATATATCAATATGAGATCTACTTAGAGTACTACCTACAAATACACATTCTCTCACAATTCATTGAGAATATTAAGTTATTGAATACATTTTTACTCCCATGACACATCACACTTGGTAACACTAATAAGGTAGATTTAGATAACACTTAAATCATGATTACGAATGTTTAATTGAATATTTTCCTTTCTGTAGCTGTGAAATGTAAAGCTTAGATTTGCTTCCATCAGGCCTCTTAAACCAAACTTCATCATGGTTAATTGTTGTAATTACGGCACTAAAAGGAAAAAAAAAAGAGTGAATTACAATATGCCTCCTCAATTCATTTTAGATTACTAGCTACAAAACTAGACTACTGTGGACTAGAACAGTAGATTCAGCATTCATTTTGCCAGACTGTTGTACTATTAGCAAGGCATGCTGTAAAAAATACCACATTCAGCAATAACTTTGTAAATCATCTGTTAAATCATTTTTAACAGAGTTGGTAAAATTCATCATTCCAACGCCATCCCCACTTCATCCTCCCAAAAGAGAGTGGAGGTAAAAACACTACTCATATGGTATCACATACCCTACTCAGGTCAGCCTTGGCTACAGGGAATCTTTCAAATACTAATCCTTAATTTCCAGTGTCAAACCATCTATGATACAAAATTTTTTTTGACACTGCTAATCTTCACTTAGAAATTTTTTTTAAATAAATTTGTATTTTATCCTTTCATGCTATTTCATCTTTCCTCTTTTTAAACCGCTTGTGGGGGGGGGTTGTTTTTGTTTTTTTGAGACAGAGTCTTGCTCTGCCTCCCCAAATAGAGTGCAGTGGTGTAGTCATAGCTCATAGCAACCTCAAACTCCTGGGTTCAAGCAATCCTCCTGCCTCACTGCCACCCCACCCTCTCTACCACAGTAGCTGGGACTACAGATGCCTACCACAAGGCCAACTAATTTTTTCTAGTTTTGGTAGAAATGGGGTCACTCTTGCTCAGGCTGGTCTCGAACTCCTGGGCTCAAGGGATCCTCCCATTCAGCCTCCCAGAGTGTTAGAATTACAGACATAAGCCACCACTCTGGGCCCATTTTTATGTTAAGTGGTAGTAAAATATTTCAAAAGCAATAAAATAAAGAGAAGAATCCAGGAATATCATATATAATTTAGTGATTAGCTTGATGAGGTTTAATGAGAAAAGTTACTGTACACAATATTCCTGGAATTCTAAAAATTTAAAGATGAATGTTATTACTCTAGGAATTAAATCTTAAACTACTGAAAGAACAAAAGGTGATTAACAGATTTTCATTTCTTTTTTCTTTTTTTATTATACCTCTCAGCATGAAAGGCAAACAATATTTTCAAAAGGCCACAACCAGATAAAATGTACAAGGTTATATAAATAATTATATAAACTTTATTTAAGCCTAGACAGATTATTGAGACTTTTATTTATTTATTTTTTTGAGACAGAGTCTCACTTGGTTGCCCTTGGTAGAGCTGTGATGTCACAGCTCACAGCAACCTCCAACTCTTGGACTTAAGCAATTCTCTTGCCTTAGCCTCCTGAGTAGCTGGAACTACAGGCGCCCGCCACAACACCCAGCTACTTTTTGTTGCAGTTGCCACTGCTGTTTTAGCTGGCCGGGGCCAGGTTCAAACCCACCAACCCTCGGTATATGGGGCCAGCGCCCTACCCACTAAGCCACAGGCACAGCCCAATTCTTGAGACTTTTAAGACAGTTTTCAGTTTTCAAGATACATTTAATTACTATTACTCTTAAGGTTTTCATTAATTTTCCATTTCTTTCCTACTCTAATTGATACAAATTCTTTTTGTCTGAAATACTGTTACATACCCAAAAAAGTTAAGGATTACTAAATCTACCAAAAATTCCTAACAGTCTGGTCTGAAGATCATTATATTAAGATCACAACAATCTGCCTACTATAAGAATTAACAAAAAGGATCAGTTAACTGACTAAATAATCTCAACATCTCTAATTGTATTAATGCTTATGTTCACAAACTTAATATGAAGACTGGTATATAAATATTAGCACTATTATACACCCATAATCAAGTCACATGTCAAGTGAAAAAAGGATCTACAGGCAACTAAGGATGTATTATGATTATGAATGCACTATGGAGGAAGCAAATATTTTATTGATAATAATGTTGCAATCTATAATACTGAGCAACATTATAATAATAAAGGTTCTTTTTACCTTGTAGGACATTCATCTTTTTTATCAATACATATTGTTTGTCCACGTATATACCATTCACCATCATAATATAGTCTTCCCTCTTCAGATCTAGCACTGTGCAGATGTTTTTCCAGTTTCACGGGTGCTAAAGGGATCAGTTCAAAAACTGTTATATTAATAAGACATTGTCAGAAGAACAAAAGGGTCGGAATATTAAGAAACAACACCAATCTATGAACACATAAGAAAAAACACTAAAAGTATTTCTTAAATAACCTAAAATCAAATAAAAATAAGAGAATTTGATTACACGCTTCTATATAATTCACTAAGTTTTTAAGATAACTACTGAAAAAAACTACATAATGAACAAGAAATCATCAATTTAACAAGAAAGTGGCAGAAGGAGAAGCAGGTACATTATCAATTTCTACTAGTAATTTTAAGCAGTAGTAAAAATATCAATTAGTGTATGTATATATATATATTTTTTTTTTTTTTTTTTGAAAGACAGAGTCTCACTATGTCATCCTAGGTAGAGTGCTGTGGTATCACGGCTCACAGCAACCTCAAACTCTTGGGCTTAAGCATGGGCTCTTGCTTCAGGTTCCCAAGTAGCTGAGACCCACCACAACACCTGGCTATATTTGTTGTTGTTGTTCTCATTGTTGTTCAGCAGGCCCTGTGCGGGTTCGAACTCGCCAGCCTCAGTGCATGTGGCTGGTGCCCTAATCATTGAGCAACAGGTGCCAAGCCAATCAATTAGTATACATTTTGTATTTTCTCCCCTGTAGCCATCTGATACTTTCAAAGAAGCACAGTTTAACATCTATTTCAAGGTTCCCCAGGCCTTTAATTCTAACGTTCTAAGTAGAACTTCCATTTCTAAATCCCAGAAATGGTTTGACATTGGTCAGATAAACTCATGCAGGGAAAAAAATTCTTCATGAAAACATACTGTCAAAAGTATACCATCAACTAGGCACTTCATAATTAAAATGTCACCTCCTGAGACAGGTCTTCTCAAACCACCCTACCTACTCCTCAGTTAACTGTATCACAACTAGATAGTTCCTTCATAGCAGTTATCATTTGTAACTATCTCCTTATTTGTTTAAGTATCTATGATGCCACCTCCCCTAGGAGGTTCCAGGAGATCCATCTCTCTCCCTCTTGTATTCCCAGAGCATACAATAGAGACAAAAATGCCTGTTATGTAGAAAGAGTTCAATAGGTATCCACTCATTCATCTATTCAACAAATATTGTCTGAGTACTTCCTATACATAAGCAGTGGTGCTAGGGGGAAAAAAAGCGTGACTGAAAGAGATAGGGTTCTAGCCTTTGTGGAGCTTACAATTCATCAGGAGATAAACAAGTGAACAAACAAATTGAGGTAAGTGCTATGAATACAACTAATAGAGAATACTGAAAATAACAAGGGTGGGAGACCCACTCATATAGGGTAACAACTTTGAGTCTATGACTCAAAAATGTTAAAAACCACTCCCTAGAGATTAAGGTAGTTGCTCTGGCACTTAATTCCCAAGGGCAGAAATTCTGTATAATACTGCTGCAATTTTCTGATAAAGTTTAAAGCAATCCATGGATTAAAAATAAAAATGGAAATTGTTTCTTATAGATTACTTTACCTATTAAAATGTGACCAGAAATTCTTTTTCTAAGTATAGTAGAAACTGACCACTCAGGGGACTATAACAATCTGGGCAACATATGAAGGTGGAACTACACCTATCGTACTGATAACATACATATATGGTGCACGCCCGGTCTATGAAAATTAGGCCAACTTAAGGAGGTAGTCAATGTAGGGATGTGGTCAACTGTGGAGGTTCTACTGTATTTAATAGATGCTTTTTTTTTTAAATCTAGCTTCATTACCCTCAAAAGGATTAGGAAATCCCATCTATAGTGAAAAGAAGGCAGAAACAGAGAAAGTTATCCTAGACATTAATGTCTATCATGACTTTGACAGTGATTTGAAACTTTCAAAAAAATAAAGGAAGTGTATGTAATTTGACATAAATTTTACTATCGCATATCAAAATGTGCAAATGTTAGTGGTAGATAAATCCCTTTCATGAACTCCACTGTCGGCATTCTAATCTCTCTCCTCAGAAAATGCATACACATAAGAAATTCTGCATACAATTTCAGAGGACTCACAGACCCCTTGAAGCCAATCCATGAATTCTATACACCTCCTGTGTAGGGAGGGTGTGGGTTAGGGTTAGGGTTAGGGTTCTACACACCTCCTGTGTAGAATTACTGGACCCAATTAAAATACAGAGTAAGTACTTTTTTAGTTACTAGTCCATTATTAGCAGTAGCAATGTGGTAGAACATGAAAGAATTACACTGCATCCAGAAATTTTGAAACTTTTATATGGAACAAATGACTCCAGAAGAATTCCTTATAATTACAGGTACAGTGTTCATTGATAAAATTAAACCAGTGATGGGGGAACTCTGTAGTATTTAGATGATTTAATGACCCTGATTCAACAAGTCTCCACAGACAGTATTTCTCAACTCAGATTAAATGACTTACGTTCTGTTTTCACTCTGTGTGGACCCAGGGTAGCCATTGCCTTAATTTAAAAAAAAGGAAAAAGAAAGTTGTCTGAGTTCAGACTGAAAATTTATTTTGATATCTACTTAATATGCACAACACTACTAATCAGCTCAATAACAAATATAGTAAAATATTACCTGCTCTAATAAATTTTTAATGTCTAAGACCATAAAGAATATATATAAAGAATAATAATTTCTCCTAGAGATAATCTGTAACCCTCAACAAAGTTTCTAAAAATAGAAAAATTTAATGAGTACAATAGAAGCGGACCACTCAACGGACTATAACAAACTGGTCAACATGCAGAGGTGGTCAACATAAGGAACTAGGTCTACTGTACTGATATGCACATGTGGTACACATCCAGTCTATGAAAATTAGACCAACTAAATCTTTAATTTTAATTCTTAAAATATTCTTGTAGTCCACCATTATCTGTAATAGTATCAACTGCCTTAAGAAAAAATGTTGTAAAGGCAAGGCATATTTATAATAACATTTTGATATACTAATGAAAAACCATGGAATCTTAAAAAGTAAGCCATAAAAATATACTTGTGTTTCATTGCTTTTTAATCATACCTTCCTTATTGTTGTCCAGTCTTCAAGAATATCAAGATCCTGTAGCATATAAACTATATATGGACGTTGAAAAGTTAAGGTCAATTTAGCTCTAAGAATATTATGCTTTGAATTATATTTACAAAGTTCTAGTTTTCAGACAATAGAACAATGATTATTCTGACTTCAAATTATTCTTCAAGACATTTAGTATCAGGATAAATACATTTTAGTACTTCTAATACTTTTAATACCCTTGATCACAGCACATACCCTTGATTCCATGATATCACTAATTATAAGATATACCACCAACCTAATTACTGTTTTTAAGGTGAAGGGAAGAAAAGACAGGATATCATAAGGAATGTCAAGCGTGAGGCGGCACCTGTGACTCAAAGGAATAGGGCACCGGCCCCATATACTGGAGGTGGCGGGTTCAAACCCTGCAGTAGCTAATAACTGCAAAAAAAAAAAAAAAAAAAGGAATTCCAAGCTTGAGTGCATGTATTAGTTCACACTCCAACTTCAGAAACATTAAAAAAAAAAATTTTAAGTATACATGAGAATTAAACAATCATGCTCTTGTGAATTACAAAGCCATAATTTTCAAAACCAAATTTCTTCACCCTTTCCATCTCTCACCTAAACTATATCCTCTACTATGGAGAGCAGGCTGTGAGACAGCAGGGCCCTCACAGCCTGGGGAACATTCAGGGAATGAACCCTCAACTGCTTCTGCCCCATTCCCCAAACAGCCATATTCCCTTCTATATGCTCCCTCTGCCAAAAGTCACCTAGCTCTTTGTCTAGTTAACTATGCAGAGATCCTTGTGATCTTTGCATTCTTACTTCTTGCCATGTGCTAACAAAGTTAAGTAGAAACCACTAAGACACATAGTTCTTCCTTTGTTTTGTTAACTAAGCAGAAATCCTTTCCTTGTGGCCTCTCCCTTCTTGTCATATGTTAATGAAGTTGTGTAGAAACCATTAACAAGATGATCTCTTTATTCATGACTTTGAGAAGTCATTTAATCTTCTAACCATACTGCAAGACCAAAAGTAAGCCTTTTGTTTATGCTTGTTCCCCATACTGTCTATGCCTCTGCCCCCTGGACAACTCTGTACAGATACTATACAATAAAACTGATTTGGGGCTTTGGTGCTGGCTGTAGCCATCAGCTCAGATAGTCCTCCCAATCTCATTCTTTGTCTCTGTGTTTCTCTTATGCTATATTTTTCTGAGTCCCCACCAATTCCACTCTGGTTCGCTCCCCTTTCCTGCACTGGTTGGTGATACTCTACCTTCAATTAGTTTTATAAATCATTTTTTGTTTATTACAGGGTCATGTAAACAAAGTCAATGTGTACAAATAAAAGTTATAAAGGTATACATGATGCAAACGTGTACATCAAGGGAAAAAAAATAGAAATTTTGGAAAAGGATATCTGAAACAACAACAGGCTTCTTTTTATCAGGACTGAACGGATCCTTCCTCTTTTTTCTTGACTGAAGCTCATCATTCCACAGCTCTGGCAGGTAAATAACAATTTAGTATTAGCTGATTTCTGGTGATCAAAGGAGGAAAAAAGACTGTAATCTTACGGTGGCTATTTAGTTATATATAAAACTGTACAAAACTTCATCAGTAGCTATGTATTATACATAAGACTGCATATAATTTCATAAGCAGTTAAGGGTTCATAAATTTTCCTCTGTCTTTATTAAAGCAAAAATCAAGGTGGCACTTAATGACTAAGAATTGGTAAGCATATGCCAGGTACTTTGTAAAATCTGTATTACAGACATTACCTCACCTAATCTTCAAAGATATCCCTTCAGTAAATGGTATTATTACTTCCCTTTGATAGACAAGGAGACTAATTTAGAAAAGTTAAGTAAATATCCAGTCACCCCAGTAGTAGTTGAAAGGACACTGGCGTTAGAGGTCAGCTTGTCTGACTCCACCATGCCTACTCTATACCGAAGAAATAAAATTTATAACAGATAACAGTATTCAAGAACTGTAAGATAACTTAGTAAACTTCCCATCCAAAGTAGAAAACCTCTTCATAATACCCCTGAAAAAGTCAACTGCATATTGGACTGATCTAATTATTAATAAGTTTCTCCTTTTTCTAAGACAAAAATCTGCCTCCTATAACACCTAGCAATTTGCTACAGCTAGTCTGATGCCAAAGAGAAAAGGATATTATTCCTTCTTCTGTATGACAGTCTTTCAAGACTTAGAGGAAAAAGCATCTACTACAGCTGTCTTCCAATACTATTCTTACAGTAGGTTCCTATCATCCTCCTATTTTATCCCTTTTCATGTGCTCTATTTTTTACATTGTTCTAAAATGTGAGTTCAAATTAAAGTAACAATCACAATCCACCAAATCCTTGAGAAGATTTCCCTTTCCCTCTTGTTGGGACACTTCATTTATATAACATTAGTATTAGACTAAGATGTTATGAGACACCACAGGAAGCCAAAGGTCTGATGTCACTCAAATATCACAATTACATCATTCCCCTTACCTGACGTAATATCAATGCTGTGCCTATCCTCTTCCAGCCTTCGTATCTTCTCCTCTAGTTCACTCTGTACTGTATCGTACAATAAAAGCTTTTCACTCTGAAAAGAAGATAGATTATACTTAACAAGAAAGAAAAAATATTGGTCTATCTTAAGCTAAGAACATCAAACAATTTACCACTAAAATACTTTAACATATGGTGCTTTTGTTTGCTTTCTCACTTCAACTTAAAAATTTTAAAAGAGAAATATCAAACATATTTTTAAAAACTAGAAAATATAGAAACTGAAAATATATTTAACTACATGCAATTATATTCTGCATGAGAACATCTAAACTGGCTCAGTGCCCATAGCTCAGTAGTTAGGGTGCTGGCCACATACAGCAGGGCTGGACGGTTCAAACGCGGTCCAGGCATGCTAAACAACAAAGATAACGACAACAAAAAAATAGCCAGGCATTGTGGCAAGCGCCTGTAGTGCCAGCTACGTGGGAGGCTGAGGCAAGAGAATTGCTTCAGCCCAAGAGTTTGAGGTTGCAGTGAGCTGTGATGCCACAGCACTCTCCTAAGGGCGACATAATAGAGAAAAAGCACATCTAAATTTAAGCATGGTAAAGAGGTAAATATTTACTTTATAAAAAACTCATTGCAGGCTCAGCGCCCATAGCTCAGTGAGTAGGGTGCCAGCCACATACACAGAGTCTGGTGGGTTCGAACTCAGCCCAGGGCCTGCTAAACAACAATGACAACTGCAACCAAAAAATAATCACGCATTCTGGTGGACACCTGTACCATGAGCTGTGACACCACAGCACTCTACCAAGGGTGACACAGTGAGTATTTATTTTCTGTCTCAAAAATAAATAAACAAATAAAAATAAATTTTTAAAAACTCATTGCAAATTCCCACGGCCCCTTTTAAATATAAATTCAACCTCTCAACATAATAAAAAAAACTTGTTCGATAAAGTATATTATTATAAAATGGATCACATTTTCACAAAGGAATAATACCTGGGCCATCAGTCCACACTAGTAGCTCAGCTTCATATTAAAATAGACTAATATAACACAAAGAGTGAAATTTAAGTACAAATTTTATAATCATTTAAAATAATTCAATTATAAAGCCAGGCACAGTGGCTCATGTCTATAATCCTAACACTCTGGGAGGCCAAGATGGTTGGATTGCCTGTGCTCAGGAGTTAAAAGACCAGACTAACAAGAGTGAAACCCCGTCTCTAAAAAATATAGGAAAACTAGCCAGGTGTTGTGGCAGGCGCCTGTAATCCCAGCTACTTGATAGGCTGAGGCCAGAGGATTACTCAAACCTGGAGGTTGCTGTGAGCTATGATGCCAGAGCACTCTACCCAGGGTGACAGAGTGAGATTCTATCTCAAAAAAGAAAAAAAATTCAATTATATTCTAAACTATAAAATTACAGACTAATTACAGTAGAACTTCCATAGTTGACCACCTCCCTACATTGACCACCCTCCTTAAGATGATCTAATTTTCACAGACTAGACATGTACCACATGTACATCTCAATATAGTAGGCCTATTTCCTTATATTGACCACCTCCATATGTTGACCACTTTGTTATAATACTTTGGGTGGTCAACTCACTGGATATCCAAATCTCTACACTAAACTACAGACAGATTGACTTGCTTTTAAAACAGAGAAGACTGGTAGATCAAAGTAGAACCCAGGTCTACTTGTCCCAGTCCATTGTTTTAAATTATATAACATTATAGTCCTTATTTTAAAATGTAGAAAATTCTGTATATAATGAATGACTCTATAAAAAGCCCAAGATAGATTCCCAACCCACCTACCACATGCTTACTGAGATATGCAACTACTGGGATATAGCCAGATATGTGACTGTCTGATGAAAGCTACTACCATAGAGTTAGACATGACTTCTTGGGGAAGACACAGGCCACACTCTGTAAGCAGCAATCCCAGTGTCAATCATGAAGCCCTCTCAATTGAGTTTGAAATTCTGAGTCTACGCATGCTTGAAGGGTCTCCTAAGTAGCAGGGAGAGGCAATTTGAGGCAAGCCAGGAACTAGAGAGAAAGCAAAGCTAAAGATGGCAGAAACTAGACCTCATACAAAAAACTGTGTCATCACATGATGTTCTCTGTACTTAATTCCTTTTGCTTGTTCTCCTGCCTTTCATAAAGTCTTATGAAATATTGCAACCTTATCTAAATTGTCCTACAAGAACTAGTAAACATTTTTTAGAGAAATATTGGGAGAGCAGGCCCCCCCCTCTACAGGGAAAATAATGTAGTAGCCACAAACAGATCAAATTTCCCCAACCAAAGATGACTAAATGAAGAGCTGAGGTCATAAGGCTTTTGCTTTTAAGAATATAAACATTTGAGCCTGTTGCAGTGGCTCATACCTGCAATCCTAGTACTCTGGGAGACTGAGGCAGGTAGACTGCCTGAGTTCAAGGCAATTGAGACCAGCCTAAGCCAAGAGCAAGACCCATTTCTAAAAATAGCCGGGCATTATAAAGGGCACCTGTAGTCCCAGCTACTCAGGAGGCTGAGGCAAGGAATCACTTTAGCCCAAGAATTTGAGGTTGCTCTGAGCTACGAGGCCAGGGCACTCTACCAAGGGCATCAAAGTGAGACTGTCTCAAAAAAAAAAAAAAA